AAATATTTTAGAGAAGACATCTTGATTACACTGAAAAAGCAGTTTTCAAATACTGATACCACTATACTACTAATTAAAGTGAGAGAGATGGCTTTCTTAAGCAATTTGTCACTTGCTATGGTCCTCTCTGGATGACCATCTGGTTTTCTCTTCCATGTTTGGCTCAGATCCTCGGGGGTAGGGGTGTTCTGCGGCTCCTCACACCCACACTGAAACATTCTTATTAGAAATGATTTAAATGCACAACCATGCACAGATATGCTCTGACTCATTCAAGGCACATCAAATTGTAGCTTCTACTTCGATTTCTGAAATTCTATCCCTTAACCTTTCCAGGGGAGTCAACGGTATTTTTTGGGTAGAAAAGAAGCTCTGGACTGCTTTGCTGAATCCATCCTTTTGCATTATGCTTACATTAAGCGGCGAAAATACTAATCAATAACACAGATAATATTGGGACTACAGCTTTCAAGAAAATAACTACAAAAAATCTTAAGTTACATAAATGTAGCAAGATGATAAACTGTATTTAGTATATAACTCATTATGATGAATGAACTGATACTTGGAGCATCCTGCTTCCTGGCCATCACTCATTCCTCACTTATTAGATCGACTACGGACGTACTTAGGGTGACCATTTCTATAGCACCACAAAAGAGGACATTATGCGGCATATCAATAAGTTACTAAGGTGTACACAAGAGTCTGGTATACTCTCATTTATACTACAATTTGAGGGGTTTAAAGAGGATGCTCATGTAGCTGAATAGGACTGGTGATGTTTTACGGTATGGTACACCTTGCACAGCTCTGCAGAAGTTATTTTGGCATCTAGGTACGACGAAACTCGATTTAAAAGAGCTTCTTTGAAGAGGTACCTGCTGCACGTTTATGACTTTTATGTTTATCTGTACTCGCATGCTGTTCAATTGCAGCTTTCACTTGACAGCTGACATCCAAATCGCATCGACAAAGTCTGCAGAAGCCATGGAATGAGTCTCGACTACTTTTCGTTATAAATTCATGTTCTTTTGTCCATTCAGAGTTTAACAAGGTCTTGCGTTTGGCATGATGCTAATTTTCTGTCAATGTACAACTTAGCAGCACTCTGGTCCTTGTGCACTTTTATAACCAATTACGAGCATATATTTATCTCACACAGTACCAATCTTTACTAATGATCTGTTTGGATATTGAAAAATAATCTGCTCTTCACGCCTCTTGCCTCATAAAGGTGGGCTAACGTTCGTCCTGACGCTGACAGTGCAATAAAAATCCTGACTGTCCGGCCTGAAGCCAGACATCTGGTCCCCTTAGTCATACTTCCACTATGGCTGATGATCCTTACTAATTTGAAATATTTGGTTTAAGCCATCTGTATTTCTCTGGGTACCATTGTCCAGCACTTTTAATTTTGTGTCTGCATCAAACAATTGCATTTCCCCCTCAGCAGCCATCAAAGGCTGCATTGGCCTATCAGTTACTTATTCATTTTGGTCAATTTGTGGACACATGGAAATACCTCTTTCACTTTATGCAGGTGTAGTGTTAATCTGATCATATATACATATATGTAAATATATGTATATATACACTGCTCAAAATGTTAAAGGGAAGATGTGAACACACAATATAACTATAAATCAAACCTATGTGAAATCCGACTGTCCAATTAGGAAGCAACACTGATTCACAATCAATTTCACATGTTGTTGTGCAAATGGAGTAGAGAACAGGTAGAAAT